TATTTGCTCTCAAGATTTTGCGGCACTATTTGTATGGGGTCCGGTGTACTATCTACACGGATCACAAATAAGCCGAATCTGAACATGAGACAGCATAGGTGGTTTGACGTGGTCAAGGATTATGACTACGAGATTCTATACCACCCGGGAAAAGCGAATGTGGTCGTTGATGCTTTGAGCCTCAAGTCAGTTAGTTCCTCGGTTGGGAGTTTATGTATAAGGATTTTGATTGATTCGTCATTGTTGGATTTGATTAGGGAGGCTAGGCTGAGGGAGTCAAGAAGAAATCAGGGGCGAGATTGATAGGTTCTCTACCGACAGTCGTGGATTGCTGACCCGGTGTGGTTGGGTTTGGGTACCGAATTTTGGTGGGATCAGGAAGACTGTGTTGGAGGAGGCATACAAGTCTAGATTTTTGATACACCCTGGAGCCACCAAGATGTATCAGGATTTGAGACTTAGTTACTGGTGGTCATGCATGAAGAGAGAGAGATAACCTGGTATGTTGAGAGGTATTGACCTATCGGATGGTTAAGGCTGAGTACCAGGGGCCGCATGGCAAGCTTCAACCACTGGAGGTTTCCATGTGGAAATAGGAAAAGATAACCATGGACTTCATCACAAAGTTACCTCAAACGACTAAGGTGTTTGATGTGATTTGGATGATAGTGGATCGTTTGACCAAGTGTGCCCATTTCTTAGGTACTCGAGAGAGTTCCTCGGCCGAGAAATTGACCGATGTTTATGTGTGCGAGATTGTCGCTCAGTATGGTGTTCCGGTTTCTATTGTTTCAGATAGGGATGTTCGGTTTACTTTGCGGTTTTGGCAGAGATTACGCAAGGAACTGGGTACGAGACTACACTTTAGCACTGCTTATCATCCGCAGATAGACGGTCAGAGTGAGCGGAACATTCAGACACTTGAGGACATGTTTCGACCCTATGTGATTGATTTCAGTGGGAGTTGGGACTCCTACCTTCACTTAGCTAAGTTTTCATAAAACAACGGCAACCATTCCAGTGTCGGTGCACCGTCATTCGAGCTTCTCTATGGAGGAAGTGTCGTACCCTAATCTACTGGGGAGAGGTCGATTCCAGGGTTATGGGAAGGGCCGAAGTAGTCCTTTAGACGACAGAACTTATTCAGCAGATAAGGCAGAGGTTGCAGACAGCTCAGAGTCGGCAGAAGAGTTATGCCGATAGACACCGATCGGAGTTGGAGTTTCAGGTCGGCGATATGGTTGTACTGAACGAATCACCCTGGAAGGGTGTAATACGCTTCAGGAAGAGGGGCAAGTTGGGACATTGGTTTATTGGATCATTTCGAGTGATTTCCAGGGTTGGCAGGGTAGCTTACCTGTTGGATTTTCCTGAGGAGCTCAGTCAGATCCACAACACCTTCCATGTTTCCCGGCTTTGGAAGTGTGTGGTTCATGATTCAGCAGTTGTTCCTTTGGATGATATTCAGGTTGATGATCGCCTGAATTATGTTGAGATATCAGTGGCGATTTTGGATAGGAAGACGAAGGCATTGCACAACAAGGTGGTTCCATTGGTCAAAGTTCAGTGGCAGCATCGGAAGGGTTCCGAGTGGACCTGTTAACCCGATGTAGAAATGCGAGAGCACTACCGTAAGATATTTACGACACCAGACTTTGAGGACGAAGTCTAATTCAAGTGGGGAAGAATTGTAACACCCAATTCAGGTAAGCATTTCATAAATTTTAAATTTGAAAGTTCCAGCTGACTCACGATGTGAGCAATGCTTGTCACGTCGTGAGGGGAATAATGAAAGGTGCATCACCTTTGGGCTCACGATGTGAGCACAAATGGATCACGATGTGAGGCCGATCTGAGAGGAAAATCCTAATTTTGGGGGTTTTATTCCGTATTTAAAGTAAGTGAGGTCTATAGTTAGCCCACCCTTAGCCCCCATCACCTCTTTGCACTCCCCTTTGAAACCCTAGCATCCATATGTGATCTTGAGCTTATTTGTGGTGATTCTAGCCAAGAAGAAGAAGAGTAAGGGCATCTAGTCATCATTTCTGCATTCAATCATCATTATCAATCATTTTCACACCTTTTGGACCTCTGTGAGTTTGAAAGTTCATTGCTTTATGAGTCTATAGGCTTGGATATAGATTTTTATGCTTTATACTTCATATTCAAGATGATGTAGGGGTTGGGATCCATAAAGTTGCCAACTTTATGGATCTTCATTGTCCCTTGAGTAGTATAGATGCTAGATCTGGAGTATGGTTGAGTTTTAAGACTCTTACATGAGATTTGGAGTCATTTCTTCCTTTTGTGCCCTAGTTAGTGTTTAGGACATGCATGTCTAAAAAGCCATGATTTTTATGGTGTTCTAGAGTGAATAAGACACTATGGAGGTTTTGGTTGCTTGTCTAAAAGGGTTAAGATTTTTTATTAAGCTTTTCTATCCAAAGCGTCCTCACAACGTGAGCATTTGGGTGTCACAACGTGAGGATGATGTTCCTCAAACACTTTGTCTTATTAGGTCATGACGTGACCACTAGATGGACATGGCGTGACAAGTGGCTGTGGGACTTTTGAGTGTGGCATTGACTTTGACCTTTGACCAAGGGTTTGAACAAGTTTGACTCAGGGGTATTTTGGGTATTTTTGAGTTGTAGTTATGATTTGTCACTATCTGATGAATATGTGATGAGTAGAGCTGACATTCGGAGCAGTGACCTATTCAGCTATCCGTTCAGACTGAGAGGAAAGTTTTCCTCACTGTACTTGTAGGTCGAAGGCACCAAAGTCGACCCACTGGATTTTGTATCCTGGTATATAGGATTGTTGTTTTACTGAGTATGTGTTGATTGGTAGATATGTATGGTTTCCTATGTTCACTGAGTCTGCTTTAGATTGATAGATATGTATGATTACCTGTTTTCAAGTTATTGATTGTTATGGTACATGTCGACATCTTATGGTTGTTGGGTTGAGGCGGTCCTGCTTTGTGCTGAAGGCCAAGATACCCGGGGGGGTCCGAATAGGTTGTAGGCCCGACATGATGGTCCTGTCAGGCCGAAGGCCCTTAAAGCGGTCTAGATAGGCTGTAGGCCCAGCACGGCGGTCCAGTCAGGTTGAAGGCTCATATCTGCATGTTGTTATTTGTTTAGTTGTGTGTGGTACTTTGGGCGGGGGGGGGGGGGGGGGGGGGGGACTCACTAAGCTTTGGCTTATAGTTTCAGTTTATTGTTTCAGGTACTTCTAACGATTGTGGGAAAGAAAAGGCGTGATCGTGCACACATCCTCTCGATTTCATGATTATGGATTTTAGAATACTTTGATTTTGATTATTCCTCTTGGAGACATTGTTTTGTAAACAATTATGGTCTATGGTTTGGTTTTGAAAAATTGAAAATTTTACTCTGATTTTTGGGATGTTACAAGTTGGTATTAGAGCCCTGGTTTGAGAAAATTGGATGAACATTCATGTGAATCCAGACTCAAATTAAGGATCTGCAAAAGTTTTCAGATTATTTCCAAAATGATTTTGAAAATTGTTTTAAAAAATAACCGAAAAAAGGATGAGATGTGTACGATCAGCCGGAGCAAGAAAGTATACGCCAAGTTACACACACTGTTATTTGTTATTGATGAGTATGATAGTATTGCACACTAATGATAGGCTAGGGATCTCAGATTTATGATTATGGATTTTAGAATACTCTGATTTTGGTTATTCCTCTTGGAGACACTGTTTTGTAAACAATTATGGTCTATGGTTTGGTTTTGAAAAATTGAAAATTTTATTCTGATTTTTGGGATGTTACACATCAAACATTAAACAAAATTAAAAAACATGATGTTCGATTTGGAACAAAAAAATGACAAAATTTTTTTAAAAAGAAAAAGCATAGTGTCTTTTATGTTATTTCTTTTTTCAATTTTGATATGTTATCGTCAAATAACCAAATAGTATCATATCAGCATGTTTACGTTAGCAGTTAACTGGGTTGATCTGTTAAATGGTCAAAATTAGAAAAAATTAGTGACTAAATTGTAACAAATGTAACGAAATGTCAAAAATTAAATTTTTTAAAAGATAATTTTTGCAATTAACCCTTAATTTTATATAAATTTACGCATTTTAAAAAACTTATAGACACTTTGGCTAAACGTTATACACATTTGAAAAGTAAAACTTCCCACTTTTAGTTACAAACCATATATATTAATGAAGAAATTAAATATCTTTTTATTTTTCTTTTTATTTATCTTTATGTTCATGTGAAATGATAACAAATATATTAAAAGTTCAATTGGATAGGGGCACACTCCAGTTTTCCCCTCGCAGGGGTTTATGAGGGAATGGTATCGAGTTCTATCCACGTCCAAAGTAGTGAAGCCCTTTGATGGGAAATTGGGTTACTAAGGATGATGTTATCTCTTCGGGGAAGGATATAACCTGGGTTCCTTGGGTGTTATACTACTACAAAAATGCTTATAGAACCCGATTATATTCATTAAATAACCCGGTTTTGAACCGGGTCCTATTGTCGACGAGTCCTATGTGAAAAAAGAAATAAAAGCCGATTCCAAAACCGAGTCCTATCAATTTAAAAAGGATGCGGTTTTTTTAACAACCGGGACATATAAAGATATTGGAGTATACAAAACATGGGCACGCAAGGAGATTTGGACACGATTCTACCATACAAAACCAAGTCATATAAGGAGATAAGACCCGGTTCCAATTCTCAAAACCAGGTTATGTAACAATTGCATCTGCACCGGTTCCATTATAATAACCGGGTCATTTAAGGAAAGCTGATTTTTTTATAATACTTTTTTATGAAAATAACTAATAGGGCTTACATCCAAAATTACATTATGTTACAATTAACCACCAACAAAGCTGAGACTTACACATCCAGCCATTATAGTCATTAATTAGCAACACATATTCAATACAAAAAAGTATACTCTAATTAGCAAATTATGTTAATGTAGACATGCTAAATAACCAACCATTATAGTCATTAATATACACGTGTTTGTGTGTCACAAAAAACAACTTGATTTGATCATATCTTACTACATAAACTTACATAAACTTTTTCAAAAAATAAATTGTTATTGCATCGAAGTAGAAGTGTAGCAGCCATCCTCCATTCTTACTGGAAAAAAAACACAACAAAGAATCAATTTTTTGTCTAATATTTCAAAACATATGATATTTAACAAACAATCATTAAACTAAAAGTAAGATGCTTTAATGATTAACAGCTAACCTTATATGCACCTTTAGACATCATTCATATAATTATTCCGAAATTCCATAGTCCACGTAGCAACAGTCGTAACCAACACCTTTACCTTTAAGGGAATTTTTTCATTCCCAAGGGTACCAAACTAGATAAAATATTACATAACATGTTCTTGATACAGACAAAATGAAAAAAAAAAAAAAGTATTTAATAAGTACTTACTCTATTTGGGAATCCATATTGCCTGGTCATTACAACATCAAACATCCATTTCATTACATAGTGCCCACTCAGCTAACTCTCGGATACGCCAACTTGGTTTCACTAAAATTGTGAAAGAAAGGAAACATAAGCAAGACAAATGAAACTACAACATCTGATTGTTGGATAAGTAATAAGATAAATTACCTCAGCGAACATCCATACATATGGAGTTGATGTGTTTTTTTCGTACCTAGCAAAAGCCCAAAAAATAAACAATCAATTGAGTTGTGTTCAAGTTTATAAAAAGAATGTAATTTTCATGCCTATTAAGAAATTTCTTACATGTCCAAAAGTTTGAGCAGGTAGTAGGTGTCTACAGGATTTTGCACACGCTTCATCAGAGAATCCAAAATGTACAAGACACGACTTGAAGGGCAAATCACCAAGAGGACCCAATGCATACTGATTATGTTTAGCAATTTTAGTATAAATGAACAAATAAACAAATAACTAATAATACAGATAGAAACTTATGGTACTTTTTCAGGGCAAATCACAAGAAACGATGTGAGACACATAGTTGAAAAAACATAAATCTTGTGAAACCAACTACAATATACACATTTTATCAATAATGAAAAGATAAAGACCATTTGATGCAATAATGGTACCAACTTGGATAAAATGAAAGAGGTTTCGTAGAGGTACGAATATATTCCCTTTGCACACGGATTGCGGTGGCATCTATTTCTGAATCTCCGATGCTTGTGTGGTCCTGAACAAAAGAAAAAGAATACATATTACATATAGAATACATCTTGCTAAAGAATTTGAAGTTTCTCCCTAGAGTCCAAAGGGTAAATATGTCCAAAAAATTTTGGTGGTTAGACAAGTAAACAGCAAGATAATCTTGTGGGGGTAGATTCTTGGAACCTTGAAATTTCAGTCTAAAAAATGGAGTGATAGTCATAGAAGCCCAAACTTTAGCAACAAAATAATGAAACTTGCTTTGGTATCAATCCCTTATTACCACAAATGGATGTGCCATTAACATGGACATAAACACAAATATAGCAATGAACAATGTAATACTGTAAAAGCATATTCCTCTGATTTTTTAGCCCAAATTCAATTTTGCACTTAAAATATAAAACAATTGGGTAGATATAAAATATTAAAATTATAAAGAAATAAAACTCCTCATAGAAATTAAGAATTTAGGATGACATTTATATTGATTATACATGCTAATTAATCTTTATTATGGGTGAAAAAAGATTGAAATGTGGAGGGGCATTTTTGTCTACTAAAGATAACAAAGTTTTGAATACCATTTGCATTAAATATAACAGGAACCTGGTTATATAATTTCAAAATGTCACAAAACCATCACGAAAGATCACTTACTATATACAGTGTGCTTCCTCACCAGATCTTTACACGGAGAGCTAAAAAGTCCCTTTAAGAGCAGGTATCAACAAATTTAATTTGAAGACCAGATCTTTGACCTGCAACACAAACACACACACAAAAACATATTTTTTTAAAAAAAGTTATACAGATTGATGTGGAGAGGGATATATCGATACCCAAATCCATAGTTGTTGCTCAACGAAGCGTGGATTGTTGTCATCGATAATCAACACAGTCAAAGCTATAATAATCAAAGGAAATAACAAAAACATATACCAATTAATAAACATACAAAGTACAACACCAATAGAAATGTTGAGTCGTCTAGACGATCGAATACTGCTACACGGACAATGATTTGGCGACCTAGCTAGTGAGACGAGGAATGAGATAGGGTTAATATAGGAGAGGAGAAGGGTTTGACACACCGATGTGATGGTCGACACGATGAAGTGGAGTCGTCGGTTGACGCACGAGAGAAGGGTTTGAGGCGACGGTGCAGTGGTAAAATTCGTCGATTATTGTAGTGGAGAAGAAGAAGGGTAAGGAGTACATACTGGTAATCGATTGGACCCCAAAATCGGTGGCGGGATATTGAATTTTCATGGCGGGATTTCCAAAATTTTACCTCAAAATAAGTTAGCCAAAAACCAATTTATCTTTTAAATAATTTTGGCATAAATATGCACCGATACAAATGTAAAGCCATATATTTATTTACTTTTTCGTCCAACCAAATACTATGGAGGATTTTTTTTTTTCTAATTTGTATTGTTTACTTGGATCCACATTTCATTCAATACTTTTGTTATTTTTTTTATGTATCTATATTTTTAAATATGAAAGAAGGCTAAAATAAAAATGATGAGCAAATTTACAATCACTTTCATGTTTCATATTGAATTAACTTGTTTTACTTTCCAAAGTATGTGGATGAGAGGTACCAGATTTGGTCCCTAGGATTAGAATCAATAGGTCTTGATTCAAGAACAAGGAATCTCCAAAATAGTCTTTGACTAACTTTATTATGTGGGTGATAGATACGCAATTCGGTCTTGATTAGAATTGATAGTCCTTAATTCGAGAACATGTAATCAACAAAATTGTCTTTGACTAGCTTTATTAATTGCATAAAAATAAGAATCAATGGCGCACCATGTTTATAATGACATGCTAAACAACTTTAAACAATATCCTATAAATTAGGAATAAGTATCCTATTATGCACAGATAACTAAACAATTGGATAATAATATTTATTCAAATAAAACATTCAAAATAACTTTCATATTTTATTGCTTAGCCTTTAAGCAACCCTACTTCTGCCTTTGATAGGCCTGGCCAAACTATCCAGGATTATCAGTGGGTTATGATATCCATAATTCTTCATCTTGATTTGACCATAAGTAAGTGGTGTCATCAACACCATCATTTGAAGATGGTATGCCAATAGAAAATGGTGGTAGCTCGTCAAACTGATCGTACTCTTCCTCGTCCACGATATCATTAACACCAAGTATATTTTGTTTTCTATGCATGATGATGTGCTTTCCGGAGTCCTTTGGGTCCTCAACATATAATACTTGGGTAGCTTGTTTAACTATAATGAATGGTTCTGATACATAACATACACTGTTGTTCTTTTTTTCCTATCTATCTATTCTTCTCTTTTCTCATCTATCTAATGGATATTAGTGCTCATAACCATAACAAGCCCGATAATATTACTATAAATAACAGTGTTCTTTTGTGTAACGTCCAAAAAATGTCAATAAAAATTTTCATTTTAAAGCATCAAGTCATACAACCAATTGATCCAAAACCAAACAAAGTAAAATTTATTTTCAAACATCATAGTATATCAAAAGTAAAAGTGTGGAAAAGGCCATCAGGGGGATGTAGTGCAATCAAGTCGGGCCCTTCCTTTTGAAACTAGAAGTACCTGGAAAATTTTAAACCACAAACCATAAGCAAAAAACTTAGCGAGTTCCCTAAAATACCACATAAACATATGGGCCTCGCCCAATAAAAAAAAGGCCTCGCCCACATACATAACGAGCATTGCCCACATACATAACGGGCCTCGTCCAACATGAAAACGGGTCTCACCCAACGGGCCTCACACAACATACAAACGGATCCCACCCAACAGGCCTTGCACAAAATAAAAACGGGTCCCACCCAACGGGCCTCACCTAACATACATAAAGGGTCTCGCCTAATATACATGCAAGAGTTACAAAGACAGCTAGCACTACTAGAAAAACAGCCTTTTATGACGCGCAATGCGTGTCGTAAAACGCTCAGACGACGCGCAAATGCGTGTCAAGGAAGGCCCTGTCATAACGAGAGACGACACGCTTTTGCGCGTCGTCCATTTACGACGCGCATTTATGACACGCATTTACGACGCGCAGTTATGACACGCAATGCGTATCAAGGAAGGCCCTGTCATAAAGGAAGACGACACGCATTTGCGTGTCGTAACCTTACGACGCGCGTGTTTATGACACACAATGCGTATCAAGGAAGCCGCTGTCATAAATGAAGATGACACGCATTTGCGTGTCATAAACTTCAGTAACCATTTTCGATATGCATTTACGACGCGTCTTTACGATACTCATTTACGCATTATACAAAAAATATGTAAACAAATATATACCAAAACAATCAATTTGAAACATCCCAAAATACGACCCAAAATTTTTTTGTTTTAATATTACTAAAATCACATCATCCAATGTCATACATACTAAGAACCATAGAGTGAGTAACTCAAAAGTCAAGTAATTGTGTCAAAACAAATACTGTATCAATCATATCGAAATATCTGAATAAAACTCCCAGGATAAAATTGAAGCTGTGGTGTGTGCCATGCCATCATCCCGAGCTCTTCCTCTTACTTGCGGAAGTACCTGAAACCAAAACTGAAAATGTAAGCACAAAGCTTAGTGAGTTCCCCAAACTACCACATACCATACAATGACATGTAAGCAAATACTGGGCCCCGCCCACTGCATCGGGCCCCGCCCGGCATCGGACCGAAATCCGGAACTAGCTTGGGCCCCGCCCACTTCATCGGACCCCGCCCACTACATCGGGCCCCGCCCGGCATCGGACCGAAGTCCGGAACTAACTGAGCATAGCATAGCATAATCATAACTACTGGCATAAACACATATATTGCATACTGCATCGGACCAAAGTTCGGAACTCATATCACAAAAACATGCTTGAATCACAAAGACATCAAGCACACTGAACTACTGCATCAGACCGAAGTCTGGAACTACTGCTAACTAAACGGGCCGGCATTGTGGCCGTAGACCCGTTCCTACTGGAAGGAAACTCACCTCGTAAGCTGGATGCTGAAAAAAGCTACTCGGGAACTGTCTGCTACTGCTCCGGTATCTCCCCGACTACAATTCCCATAAATATACTCAATCAAATACTGATAACTAAACTGGGGGTGAAATGACTATTTTACCCCCGGTCAAAGTCAACTTCCTGGCCAAAGTCAACCTCCAGTTGACCGGACTCGCCGAGTAGGGCCGCCAACTCGCCGAGTCCCTTTCATCCGTTCTAGTCCTCTACTCGCTTCTACTCGTCGAGTTTGGCGAAGACTCGACGAGTTCTTCTTCGATACATACATCGAGTCTAACTTCATCCGACTCGCCGAGTTGTATGAACACTCGTCAAGCCTGAAGAACAACTCGCCGAGTTGAAGAACAACTCGTCGAGTCCTAAGCATGCTATTACTATACAGTCGATTCTAATCGATTTTAGTGCTTCCAAATCATAGATCTAGGCTCTTAGGGTTGGTTTTACACGTAAAGTTTCCAACTTTACGTGCATGCATGAAGAGATGAGGCTAGAACATCAAAATAAGCTAACAATGGGGTCTTAGGGTTTGGAACTCGACCTTGGGTGCATAAAGGCAGCTACTTTGAGCTCCTACAGCTTAAATATACTCAGATCTATGATCCATTTCCTTATAGGAGTCCCAATCTCGAGTTTGGATCCAAAAAGTCCCAAAAAGAAGCACATCTAAGCATACAAGACTATCAAATGGAAATAACAAGCAAGGTACAAGCTTTAGTACCAGAATGTGAGGCTGATGATCAAGAGACTCTGGATCTTCTTCTTCTCCTTTGGATCCTTCCTTCTTTCCTTCTCTTCCAAAACCTCCAAACTAGCACAAACACACTCAAGCTCAACAATGGGGGCTAGGGTTTACAGGGAAAATGCTCTAAAGGTGCTGGAGGCTGGGGTGGGAGGCTATAATGACGTTTATATAGGGTACAAACCCTTGAAATTAGGGCTTCATCCAGACATGCAGACTCGCCGAGTCCTTTCATATGGACTCGCCGAGTAGCCAACTTAAAATGCGTGAACATCCCGTCTCTACTCGACGAGTTGGGCTACAGACTCGTCGAGTATCCCTTAAGAAAATGAAAATTACTTTATTTAAATCACATACCATAAATGGGGCGTTACACAATTTCATCCAATAACATCATGTCAAAAAATTGTAATACATTGATATTAAGGGGATCTAATTGTACATTGTTATTAAGAGGTTTTCCCTAACTATATAACCTAATACTACATTGCTATTAAGGGACACCTTCTGTAATGTAATGCTATACAAACTAAAAAGATATACACAAAGATGATAAACATCAAATTCCAACTAAGTATAGTTGCATATTGCCTTTCATAATTCTTTAAGACTAATAAACCCCTGCTCTGATAATTCTTGTGATATGATATTTGATCCATGTGGTGTTCCGGGTTCCATTAAAACCTGCTCTGCATTGAAAATATTTGCATAAGTGTGTATCGTTGCAGAATTGCTTGCTCTAACACAACACAAAGATATTAGCCACTTTTTTTGCATCAGAAAAAAAAATGAACTTAACAAACCTGCCATATCAAGAGAAGTCATGAATGACCACGTATACACTCTAACAACAGCTACTCCATGTTCCAGCTGTAAAATAGGAACAACCTTTCCAGCAAATTAATCATATGTGATTAAATACATATAATCACATGTGATTATATGAATCTAATCACATATGATTTATGTGGACATAATTCATTTTTGCTTTGTCGATTAAATAGTTGTTCTCATGTATTTTATCATATGTGATTATATGTATAATCGTATGTGATTAAGTACATGAGCACAACTATTGAATCGAGAAGGGAAAAATGAATCTTGTCCACCTCAAATCATATGTGATTATATACATATAATCACATGTGATTAATTACACAAAAGCAATTATTCAGTCGAAACCGCAAAAAATAAATATTATCTACATAAATCATATCTGATTAAATACATATAATCACATGTGATTATATGTATCCAATCATATATGATTTATGTGGATGAGATTCATTGTCACATTCTCGATTCAATAATTGTTCTTTGTCCACTGTAATCATATGTGATTAAATACATATAATCATATGTGATTATATGTATATAGTCACATATGATTTATACGGACAAAAAATAATGATGTCTATATAAATCATATGTGATTAGATACATGTGATCACATATGATTATATACACAAGAACAACTATTGAATCGAAAACACAAAGATAAATATTGTCCACATATATCATATGTGATTAAATGCATATAATCACATGTGATTATATATATCTAATCACATAGAATTTATGTGGAAAATATTTATTTTCACGTTCTCGATTCAGTTGTTGTTCTTGTGTGCTTAATTACATGAGATTATATGTATCTAATTAGATATGATTTATATGGACAATATTCATTTTCACATTCTTGTTCAATAGTTGTTCTTGTACATTTAGTCACATATGATTTCTGTACACAATATTTATTTTTGCGTTTTTGATTAAATAGTTTTTCTTTTTCCACATTAATCATATGTGATTAATACATACAATCACATATGATTAAATACATAAGAAAAAATATTGAATCATCAATATCATCAATATAAATCATATGCGATTTGATACATATAATCACATGTGATTAAGTACATGAGTACAACTATTGAATTGAGAAAAAAATAATGAATCTTGTCCACATAAATCAAATGTGATTAAATACATATAATCACATGTGATTAAATATATTAGAACAATTATTGAATCGACGCAAGAATAAATATTTTCCATACGAATCATATGTTATTAAATAAATATAATCACATGCGATTAAATACAAACGAACAACTATTGAATCGACACGTGAAAACAAATATTGTCCATGTAAATCATATGTGATTAAATACATATAATCACATGTGATTTAATACACGATGCCAATTATTAAATCGAAAACACGAAAATAAATGCGGCCTACGTAAATAATATTTTATTAAATACATATAATCACGTGTAATTATATGTATCTAATCACATATGATTTACGTGGACAATATTCATTTTTGTATTCTCGATTCACAAGTTTTTCACGTGTATTTAATCACATGTGATTATATGTATTTAATAACATATAAATCATATATGATTCGATACATATAATCACATGTGACTCTATACATATAATCACATGTGATTATATACCCGAGAAAAACTAATGAATCAAAATCACAATAACAAATCTTTGTAGGTGGGGTGGGGTGGTGGCGGCAGGTGGTGGTCATGGGTGGTGGTGATGTCTGGTGATGGGTGGTGGTGGGTGGGTGGGTGGAGTGGTGGTGATAGTGATGGGTGGTGGTTTTGGTGGGTAGTGGGTGGGTGTGGGTGGTAGTGCTGGTTGGGTGGTGATGATGGTAGGTGGTGATGGTAGTGGCGGGTGGTGGTGGAGGTGGTTGTGGTGGGTGGTGGTTGTGATGGCGGTGACGGGTGGTGGTGGGTGGTGGGTAGTGATGGGTGGTGGGTGGTGGTTGGTGGTGGTGGGTAGTGATGGGTGGTGGTGGTGGTTGGTGGTGGTGGGTGGTGGTTGTGGTGGGTGGGTGGTGGCGGGGGGGGGTGGGTGGTGGGTAGTGATGGGTGGTAGTGACAGGTGGTGGTGATGGGTGGTAGGTAGTGGTGGCGGGCGGTAGGGGTGGGTGGTGGTGGCGGGTGGTGGTCGTTGGGTGGTGGTCGTTGGGTGGTGATTGTGGTGGGTGGTGGTAGTGGTGGCAGGTGGTGGGTAGTGGTTGGTGGCGGTGGTTAGTGATGGGTGGCGGTGATGGTAGGTGGTGGTGGGTGGTGGTGGTGGGTGGCGGTGATTGGTGGTAGGTAGTGGTTGTGGGTGGTGGTGGCAGGCGGTGGTGATGGATGGTGGAGGTGGGTGGTGGTCGCAGGTGGTAGTGGTTGGGTGGTGATGGTGGTGGCGGGTGGTGGTTGGTGGTGGTGGTAGTGGTGGTGGGTGGTGGTGGTGGTGGGTAGTGATGGGTGGTGGGTGGTGGTGGTGGTGGGTGGTTAGTGATGGGTGGTGGTGGTGGTGGTGGGTGGTGTTGGTTGGGTGGTGAGTGGTGTTAGTTAGTGGGTTTTTTAATTGTTTTTAAGTATTTTTTTATTTATATGAATATTATTTTATAATTTTAATTAAAAAAATTATGTGGTCGAAATTTGTTATCAAATGTTCTCGCGATAAGAAATGTTCTCGATTGAACGCTTCTCTATCTATATAATATATATATATATATATATATATATATATATATATATATATATATCTATATCTATATATATATATATATATATATCTATATATATAATGAATTTGTTTGGTAACTTATAGCAAAATCAACAATCTCAAACTCAAAGTAAATACCGAAATCATATAGTAGCTAATACCTATATCATATTGTCAATAAACAATTATATATTACTTTTCCATTTAGGTTTGACAGGAAGGCGGGATTACATTATTTAATTTCCCGCCAAAAAGCCAAGATCATCTACCCTTTCATTGACTTTGTAGAATCAACAAGCACCGATTCACTCACAAATAAGGGAGAGAGAGAGAATTTCGGAGAAAGGGGAAAAACAAAGAGAACCATACAGGGAAGAAATCGTGAGGGGCACGGAGAGATAAACGCACATGGGATCATAAATTAATTTCAAAACATCATATACATACACTGAGGACGGTATTTCCATACTGAAATCATCAACATAGCATCAGGTTCGTCCCTTTCTATTATGATTTTGTTAATGTTGTTGATTCCAACTCTAATTTGCATAAATTGGGGCACTTTAAAGTTAATTATTTATTATGATGCTTGTGTGCAACTGATTTAATTAATTAAACGAGTTGAATTACTAAAAGGCAAAGCTAATAAGAGTAAACTACATACCGATATGTAAATTAATACCTCTGTTGTAGATTTCACTTGCTATCACATTTATATGGCATGCTTTGGCACTCTGCCTACATAGATAAACAATAAACTTGTGTACACATGTATTGATATTTAATTGAGCGGACTTGCAAAGAAGTGTAAAGCAATTAAAAGTAACCACTTAATTAACTTAAGAGGTACATACCAAGCAACGTCTATCTTTCTTCACTTAAATTTTCTGCGTATGTTAATGGAGGATTAAACACATAGCTGCCTTTCTTATCTGACGTGTTGTCTCGTTGGGTTTTTGTATGCGTTAATGGGTGGATAAATGCAATAAATAGCAAAAGTAATCCCAGAAATCAACGATAATTATTATTCAAAAAGATTTTAGCATCATCTGTTAAGCTGTTTGTTTCATTATCTGTTAAGTTATAAAATTAATATTTTATTTGGTGATAATTTTATATCTTATTCCCTTATGTTAAGTTAAAAAATCAATATTTTTTATGATAATCGTATTTGGTTTTGTTGTTTCTTGATATGAGAAAGTTAAGAATTTAAATATGCTTTTCACTGATGATTGTGTTTCGTTTCTGCAGAGTGAAGACATGGAATAAATTTCCAACGCTACTTCTCTTTTTCGATGCTACTCCCCATAGCTACAAATGAGACTAAAGACTTATCTGGTGTTTTGTTCTGTTTTGTATTATTAAAGTTTTTTTGGTTCTTCTTCACATCTTTTTGTTTGTTGATTTGTAAGTCGAGGATCCATCAGACTTATCTTGGTATCGGCCTAACTTTCATGATTCACGATTCTGGTCTTAATATGTTTCTATCTATTTTATTCAATACAAGTTCTAATTTGTTAAAGAAAAAAAAAACAGGGTCAGCAAAAATTACAATACGTGGGGTTTACTGATATGCTGATATTTATATGTCCTATAAACTTTATTTAGATCAAACAATCATTGATAAATAGATATGCTATTGGATTAAATTACATTTTTAGAAAAAAGCTTCAAAACAACTGCACATATGTTAGGTGATGCAGAATTGGTTTTGTATTTATATCTGATGCAGAATTGTTATATTTATATCCATCAGAGTGCATCTGAGGACATCATTAGTGAACTAAGTTCAATGTTTTTTAATATATAGGATTCATCTGATGTAATTTATGGAACTTGACTATGTTTTCATGTAATTTTACACCATTGGGGGAAAAGAATATATACACGAAAGTAAACTGATGTCTATACTTTAATCTTAAAAAAAACCCTAATGCCTTTAATACAATATACAATATAAGCATCACCTGAGTGATTATTTGTGTTCTATATAAGAAAAAAATCAATATAAAAAGAAACAAGAGCACGCTTGAGAGCCATAGAAACCCGGTTGTTGCTTGACAAGCAGGTCCTATAACCCTCTCAAAAGCACGGCCCAGTGCCATAGAACACGGTTTCGTTTGGAAAACCGGGTCATATAACTTTACAGCTAAAAGAGCCGGCTGTGTCATTAGAAACCGGGTTGTTTAGTTCACTCATATATCCCGGTTCCTCATCTTAAACCGGGTCATATAACTCTTCCCTTTATAAATCCCGGTTTTCCCATAATATGTCCCTTTTTTTCATAAACCGGGTCTTATATGGCGAGTCCTATGTGACATTTTGTAGTAGCATACTGCCCTATCGGATGTCACTGCCCGCTACACTAAACCGCCGTTCAAAAAAAATATTATTAATTTTATCAAAAAATGACACTAATATAAAAGGATATTTAATTTCTCTAACATTAATTACCTTAATCTTTTTCACAATAGATAAATTGAAAAAAAAAAAGGTTTGGAAAAGGACTATTGTCCAAATTAAAGTATAAAGAAAAAAAAAATTGGTAAAGTACAAGAAATTTTAGAATACTTTCAAAATTAAAAACTTAAAATAGGTATCGCTTTAGACGTAATATTACATATAAATCCATTAAATTTTAACAGTTACAATCAAGGCATGTTATTCAATAGGAACAACTTTAGAAAAGTAAAAAAAAAAATCAATAACGTACGCACTAGATGAACAATATATATTGAATTTTATTGAAATAAATGGTCACTAGCTACTTCTGAGAATCCAAGGCCAAAATGGTGCTTAGATTCATGGGACTCATGTATTCGGTTGAACCAGTCATCATTTGCTCGACGATAATCTTGTTGGCTTTTTCCGAGGGGTGGAATGCATCCCAAAAGGCATACAAATCTCTGTTATCGCACAAGTTTGACAGTGGGGTGCATAGACCCAGCCCATTGTATGGTCCTTGTCCACAGCATGCTATCTTTGCCGACACAAATCCTGCATACAGCCATACACCCAACCATCTTTAATTAACTCAAACTCAACCACATGTGCATATAGAGGTACCATGCACAAATAAAACAAATATGTTCGGCCTCATTTACCAAAAGCTCCTGGATCACTGATAAAGTCGGAATGCATCTTCTTCGAGTTCACACTGATGAATACATGACTGCCTATTTTGCTATTGAGATCACTCAGCATTTTGTTAAGTTGTGGGTTATATAATCCTGCAGCTTTCTGAAGTTCGGTTGCACATTCACCATTCCGGCTGCGCTGGGCTAGTTCCGCTGGCACACACCCCAACGGGCCAGTTCCTGTGACAAGAACCCTACGAGCTCCCAAATCATACAGTTTCTGCATTTAATTAATCAATGATTTGAAGTTTATGGTTTACACAAATCTGTAAACTTGAATGAATGGTAATTAATTCTATATATATGATCGTATGCATTATGCGTACCATTAAAATCTTTTTGTATTCCGATATGATAAAACGGACATAATTAGGTAGCGCATATTGTCGAGAGCGAGCTGAGTAAGGAACCAAGTAGTAGTTGTTGACAAAATCGTTGCCACCAAGTGTCATGAGAACGACCGCGTTTTTTACAAGCTTTTTAGCCTGGTTCGCTCCTATAAGGCCGCTTAATCGTTGTTGATACTGCCTAAAGTATTCAAACTGCAACGGAATCCGAATTATATTCACCTGAAAAGCATATCGGTAATTAATACTCATCATGATTTATGAAGTTGCATTGTAAGCTTCATGAAAAAGGTAGAAAGAAAGAATTCTACGAATTGGACTCCGGTGTCATTAAGTATTCCAATCCCTGCAGACGCAAAATTAGCACCAACGAGTAGCCTCCGTCCTGTAAGTTGAGGGTTCAAGAACGGCAATGTGGGCTCCTCCCCCATGCGCTGACCTGGCATTGTACGTATAAAATCAACAAATATATAAATAATGAATGTTAGTAAAAGGGTATGTATGTTAGAAACTCTACTGATAAGGTCAGGCATGTTGAGGCCGTTAGAGAAACGGCCTGTTGGTCTATGTGTAGGGTAATCAATGCCATAAGGAGGTGAGTCGGCTCGGGCAGATGTAACCAAGTAGTTGTTGTTTCCATTGTCGACTAGTGAGTCTCCAAACACAAAAAACGCTCGAGCGTCAGCCCTAAGACAGACTGATGCCACTACCCATATGGTTAAAATGAAGGTGAAGGAAAGACCATATGATGTTGAGATAGCCATGAATAGTTTTTTTACAATAATCGGCTACGCTATATGATCGCAATTTTATAGAGAATATACGTGATCCGTTTATATAAAGATTCTTTTTGAAATATAATATTGCAAAATCCATTGAACTTTTAGCTAGATCCCTGCATCATGTGTAGGTAGCACAGTTGTAAAGAAGAAGCACCATCAATGATGCAGCATGCTATTGATCAGTGGTAGTTCAGATTGTAAGTATTCAGGTGGACGTTGCTGGGAAGATTAATTAATTAATTCATTTGACGTATACTAACAACATGAATAATTAATTGCATTTCTCAAAATTCATGGATTTAGGATATACGTAAAAAAAATTGGAGGAATTTGGTTGACAGGGAGGAGATCTTAAATAAGGTTGCATGTGATGAACGTGAAGGCTGTGAAAAGCCGTTAGAGCAATGATAGGTTGAGAGAGCGTAAGTACAAGTAAACCAGAATGAGGCATAGCATTAAATTCATTTGTTTGTTGAATCCTATTGAATAGGAGTCCTGAGGTTGAAGCTTAAAGTTGATGAGTATTAAACCAATGCTACAAAGATCTCGTGAAAGGGGAGGTGGTGAGCTGTTTCTTGTGGCTTTTGGACCCCCACCCCAACCAACCAACCCCTCATGTAGAACCTACAATGGAAGTTTTCATGGTTTCTAGCAAAAAATAACCAATCGATTATTGATGTCATGGTGACTTATATGGTCGAAGCAATAACTTTTAGCCCTGTTAATTAAGTGGCTTACCATAGTTCGAATCCTGCACTTGGATATATTTGGTAATTAAATTAACCAAAATGCATCTTTGAATCCTCGTATCATGCTACTGTTGACAATACTCTAGTTAGCAACGTATAGAAAATGACATAAATGCCCTACGAACTTTCTAGGGTTTACCTGTTGATTCCCTAAAAATTTTGTCGGACTTTATGGATCCCTAAACTAGGATATGACCTGCTTTCATCACATCCATCAAACCTGCAACTCGGAGGGAGAATGAGAGGTAGCTTGTGCGATTTTGAATAGAGAAGAAGGAAGGAGGGGGTCAATTCCTTGAAGAGCTGAAATCGAATCAAAGAAAAATAGTGGAAGGGGTTGTGATCGAGAATCGATTGGAAGGGGAAGAGGATTGTGATCTTCGGTGAGTGTGTGTGACGATCGAGGGTGACGACGGAAAGAAGAGTAGCGATCAATTTCTTGGGAGGGTACGAATTGAGTGTGAATCGGCTTTAGAAGAAAATGAGATTTTTTTGTACGAATTGATCCCTAACCTTATTTTTTTTGCTTTATAGGAGCACAATGTGAGTTTTTTTGGTCTAAAATGTCACTGAACCGACTATTACAGGTTGACAGCGACTAAAAGAGCAGATCATATCCTAGTTTAGGAACCCATAAAGCCCAACAAAAACTTTAGAGACTCAACGGGTAAACCCTAGAAAGTTCATAATGTATTTTGTGTCATTTTCGCTTTTCTTATCTATCTATACATTTAGCAATGTGTATAATTTTCTTATCTATCTATACAGTACCTAACAAATGAAAATAAAATTTCATTTTTTTAGGGCCATAAAGTTTTATTTCCCTTTTAATCTAACGATTACACATGTCATTGGTCATATTTATTTCCGTCAAATTTTTTTGAGAGTTAAATGATTTATATTTTAATGATTTTAAAAAATAAAATTACATAATTATAATCTAACTAACTCTATTTTAATTTATAATTTATAGCTTTAAATTTTAGTGTATGTTAACTAAATAAAGAAACCAATTTTAATCTAATTTAATTTAATGATTTTGATTTGAACTAAATGAAATTAGGAATATGAAGTTAGATATCATGCAATTTGATTGATTATAACTAAAAATGTGGGATTTTTAATGATTTTGAATTTTTGATTTTAATTTGACAATTTTTTAATGATAATATCTTGTGTCAAGTGCATTTTTCTAAAGCCTTAAAACTTTATTTTTTCTTTATTTCTAATGATGACACATGACATTGCTCATATTCCTGGTTACAAAATTTTCAAAATTAAATGATTTATATTTAATGATTATAAAATATAAAATTAGATAATTATAATCAACTAACCTTATTTTAATTCCTAATTTATAGCTTTGAATTTTAATGTATAACGTCACATTTTCACAAACAATTTTTTTTTTTCGTTTTTAAATAAGGTAAGAATATCATTTACATAAACTTAGTTAAGAAAACTCACTTGTTCCGAAATACAGTTGTTTGAAAATCAGAGTAAAATAAATCATGTTGAATCTCTAGTAATGATAATGAGTGTGTACAGTCATGCATTCAACTTCCCATGATCACCAATGGTACATGAAAAACATTTAATCCACAACTATAAGCAAAAACTTAGTGAGTTTCCCCCAAAAATACCATACACCAAAATATACATACAATACATGCACACATGAGACTTCAGTCTGTCTTGCATGCCTCGCAAGGCCTACAGCATGCCCGAACCGCTCTACCGAGCCTACAGTCTAACTGGACCGTCTCGCAAGGCCTACAATATAATTGAACTACTCTATTGGTCCTACATACTGACTGGACCGCCTCGTAAGGCCTACAATACACCTGGACCACCCTCTCTCACTATACAGTTGGTCCACACTTGGCCTACAGCACACCGCTGGCCCGCCCGAGTATCTTGGCTTACAGCACAAAGCAGGAGCGCCTCAACCCACCACCCAATATGTCAACATATGTAACTGACAAGCATTCAAGTAAACACATAAACACATGCAACTATCTACACTAGTCTACTTGTCTAACAGCTCACTACCGTATACCATGCCTTATATAGTACACTACGACACTACCGACAAATATCCAAGGAATGCATAACTATATGTAGACCAGAGGTAAGTTAGACATTTGTACGGGTGATCCCAATCTAGAGTCACAACCAAAAAAGGAACTGGCAAGAAAGCCTAGATCAAGAGATCTCATGTTATCCTACATAACTACGTACATCCCCTAGGGCACTCTACTAAACGATTACCAAGCTATTGGTACTCTAACCAGCATACCACTACTCATATATCCTGATACACAAGGATATGCACTATAACACATAGTATAGTGAGGAAACTCACCTGAATCGAAGACCCAAAGAAACACAGCAACATGCTCACTCCATGCACTGATCGTTCCCATGAACTAACTAGCACCAAGCAAAAGTAAAACCTTAGTCAATAACCCAATTCCTTCAAGTTTTGACCAAAGTTCAAACTGGTCCAAAAATCAACGGTCAAAAAATTCAATGGTCAACCAGGTCAACCCGCACCACGACGTGCATGCCTCTTGGACACATTATGGGAACATTAGGACAAAACAGTCGCGAAGCTGAGAACCACCACCCCGTGGCAAGCCCATTGTCACGTCGTGTAAACTGATAGAAAGCCATATTCTCCATTAAGAGTTTAACCCTTACAGTTCTAAACTCGTAACTTTAGATCTGGTCTATTTCAATGACATAACGGATAAAGTTTCCAACTTTATCCATTAGAACTCCACCACAAGCCAATATCTACAATTTTATGTCCATTAAGTCCTTAATGAGGCTATAACTTGGGCATGGACATAAGGGACTCCATACATGACTCTTTTCTTATTCACCAGAACTTTATTAACCTTAGAAAGACATCTCAAGCTCTAGAGTTCTTCAAAATCTTGAGCATCCAAGGAAGGGACCAAAATCAAGCGAAATGAACTTATACTTGCATCAAGAAGAACATGTTGGGTTTTGAGCATTCTAACACTCCTAAGGTGTACATGCAACCCTAAATACCTTGGATCTATGTTTTCTCTATTATACATGCAAATATCAATTTTCCAAGGTATTGTTCTAACTAGCATAATATGAAGTACATATAATATAAATTCTAGTAGAATTACATACCTCTTTGTTGTAGCTTGATTCCATGGAGCTTAAGAGCCTAGTGCCTCAAGTGTGACACCTCAAATGGTTCACACAACATCACCAACATCTTGGAATAACTTGAGAGAAAAGGTTCTTATACTCAAATCGGCTAGCCCTCATGTGTACACACACTAGTGCCCATTTCTTGAGCCATGGGGTCCTTATATATGGTGGCTATTAGGGTTACACCATGTAACTCATGTCTTTCCATATTCTCCATGCTCCATGGGTTAAAACCTCCATGGAGTATCCATGGGTTACTCCATGGGTTTAGCCCAACATGAAGAGCTATGGATCATAAGCCCACATATATAAGAATGAATGATTTATACAATCAATCCCCATATATTTAATTAGTCTCCTTTTGATCACAAAGTTAATTCAAAATTAATTCTTAATCAATACTAATTAAATAATATGATTTCATATTAATATATTAACAAATCATAAATATCCTTTTCTCATAAAAGTCTATCCAAATTGTTCCGATGCCATGCAACCCAAATGGACCATGCCAATCGGGTCAAGTACATACCAATTATAGTTATGGACTTAGACACTAATCCAACAGTCTCCCACTTGGATAAGTCTAAAACTATTATTGCGTATGACTTCAAAACCCGACTAGCAATCGTAGCACTTAAAAGCTGCTGTCGAACTCTGAACAAATCAATGACGCGTCCATTAGATAATGGATCATATATTCCTCCATTCTAGATATCATATGGACTGAGACATGGATTATAATCATTCTCTCTGTCCATTTGTTGTTTCCCGATTTCCGATTTATGACGACCGACTAATTGAACAAATCAAATCAGTCCAGGCTTGGCCAAGCACTTCGGGGTGTCATCACTAAATCATCGAGGGGCCCACAGATATCGCTTTTATCCCTTTAAGGGTAAAAGGAATGGATAAACTTCGACTCATATGCTTGTTTTACTACTTGTTGAATCATACACAAAGGCACGTTTTATAACATCGAGTTACCAATGCGTTTTCGTACAATCAATGTATAACCAACTCATAGGCAACAACTCATATCTCTAGGTTTGAAGAATATAAGATATTATCGTCTCATGATCACTCGTGATACAATCCATGAAGTGAGTCAAATGAG